AATGAATGAATGAATGAATGAATGCATGAATGAATGAACGGAATAGTCGTTGCTTAACTCTTCATGATATTCTGTTGGGAATACCGGAAACGGCTAACCTTGTCACTCAAAACTATTCCAACAAAACAATGTCATTGGGATCGGAACGAAACATTGTCCAACAAATTCTTCAAACGTTTTTCCAAACGTCCGTCTTTCTTCCGTCCTTCTTACCCATCCGATTTATCCATCCATCCATCCATCCATCCTTTCCATTTTCTTCTAACAACCCTTTTTCAGTTTTGCTGAAAAAAAAAGCAAACAAAATTCATTCCTTTTCCTTATAAATATATCAAATAAACCACTATTTAAAGAAAAAAAAAACAAATAAATGCAATTAATTAAATTTTTGATGAATAAAGATGGTTTTTGTTTCCTTTTTTCAAAAAATTTTAACATATATACAATTTTGCAAAAATTTTTTTTCTCATATGTTAAAAATTACTAAATGATATGAAAAAAAAAGTTTTCGCCAAGATATATTTGGGTATTTCTAAGTTTAAAAAAAATTTGAATTTTTTTCAGGACGAAACATATCGACCGATACGTGGATTATATCAATCATCGGAAATTAAATCAGTTGTACCAGGATGGTGATAAAATCAAAATTGGGCCAAATCAATGAATAGTTACAAAGGATGAAATGGAAAAATAAGTGAAAGCATTTTGTTTTTTTAATGCTTGAAAAATCTTGATTTATATTATAAATTTGTATTTTTGGTTTTTGCATGATATCATGGGTAACTTTTTTCTGATTTAATTTAGAATTTACAAATAATGTTGGCAAAAAAAATACCAAAATGAAAGACAAAAACAAGTCGTGATTCAAGACGAAAAAATGATCGCTTCTTCCCAATTATTACTATATGCAATTTTTATTAACAAGTGAGAATTCAAATTCCGAAATATTTACTAAAATCATTTTTTAAATTATGAATTCATTCAGTTTGCTTTTTTTGCCGCACAAGTAAATTTTGCTTCATTTTTTGTTGTCAATAAGTAATTAAAAGGAAAAAAGATTAGTAATTTAGAAAAAAAAGGAGAAAAAAATTTATATTAAAAAATTAGAAAATTTAAATTTTGAGAATAATAAATTCCCAACGATATCTATGAAAAAACTAAAACCGAAAAATAAAAAAAAACATCCCACTTAAGAGCTTATTTTCAGTGCTATCTTTCTTCGTCACTTTTATTAACAATATCCCATTTATGACAAAATTTCGCTTTTTTTCTCTCTTCCT